TTCAGACTACTGGATGACTCCTCAAATTTTAAAATCTGTTCACTGACAAAGCATGTAAAGGGCTCATCCAGAATAGGAGCACATAGAGGTGAAGCGATTTGCTATAAATTATCTTTATTTTTGGGCTAAGCAGTTAAATTTGCTAACATCTTGATCTTTTTCGGAGGTGGAATGTTAACAAAAATTTTTGTTAATTATTTAATAATTTAAAAAAAATTAATTATATTTCGACAAATTTTTTTTCTGTGGCAGCAACGCGCCGAGTACCAGTTAATTTATTGTACAATGATCTGCGACTTAGTTGTCGTATTAACCTTACTTTACTTTTTTCTTTCTTTTAAAAACATTACATACATAAATTGCAAATGAAAAAACATCCAGATCCGAAATAATCATCTGTACATCAAAGAAAAACTGAAAAAAAACACTTTAGTAGCCAGTTATGGGTTATGTTATGGGCTCCAGTAGCCACTTAGACCACGTAGACGGTAAATTCGTTTGTCATTTCCATTTTGAAAGAAGAATATCATATCGCCTCCGGCAAAGTTTATGTATGGTATAATGGAAACCCGCAGCTTCGCATGGTAACATGTTTACCTATTTGACTTAATGCCGCTCTAAACACATTGTCGTGTCGCTCCAATAGGCGTAATTAGCTCCAAACTTTATTGTTCCGACTGTTTAATGTGCTCGGAAGCCTTTTACTGTGTTTGGGGTGTGTTTGTACTTCTTACAATTATCACATCATTTGTGGGGCAAGAGAGACAATAGAATGCTTCAGAATAGAGTTCACTCGATCAGAAATTAAAATTATCTAGATGCTCGGACGAACAGAGAAAGAAAGACGGAGCGCTGCGTATATTTCAAGTAATGCAAAAAGAGCGCCAAAACCATGCTCAACTTATTGTAAGAACATAAATTAATCTAAAATCATTTGCAACCAACAACGTGTATTATGTACTGCACTGCTATTTGGCGGCAGTTATAGGTAAGAAAATTTTATTTACCCAGACGGTAAATACAAAGGTTTTACGTCGTAAAGCCCTGCTGCAGCTGTATTAATAGTATAGTTGTAGCACCAATGGGTCGGCTCGACCGAGGAAGGATCACGCTCTCACAGAATAAATACCAGGGTAAAATAGTAGCTTCACACTGCTGTGTTTCGTATGGTGAGTGCAGAGAACCGGTGACCCTTTTTACTGGAAACGAGGCATTCGATCTTAGACCACAGAGTCAAAACACATGTGTATTTTGATTTATAACTGAAGATAAATGTAGATCATCACTTACCATCAGGTGGATTGTGTGCCCGTTTGTCACCCTTATTCTATAGAAAAGGTCCATGATAGCATTGTTGCAACACCACGCAGCTGAAATGCTGAATTATTTATTCGTATTTAATCCTTTTGAGTCGACGACCCGAAGGTCGCCTGAGATCCGTTTGAAGCTAAATCATAGGACTTGTGTGTGCGGTGACCATTTCGGGTTTCAAAATAGTAGGACAGTGTCAAAGTACCTGTTAGAGAGGTTCAGTATTCTGTGAAGGAGAGGTGAAATAATCAGTGTTGATTTTTACTCTTCGTAATTTCATGCCTGGTTTTATAGGCTGTTTTTAAGAACTGCGAGGGTACTGGGGACAGTAAGGACAGCACTCGGGACGTATTTAAAAAAAACAAAGCGAGAGAGGGACTCGGTTCGGTTCCGAACGTAGTTCTCGGGAATCCTCATATACGCTGGTGGTGACACAGTCCTTTCTTCCCCCCGGTACGCTAAATCTCGGAATTGGTCCCGAGTGATATCTCGGGATCAATTCCGAGACATCGTCCCCCTAGAGGGTTACACCTAAGAATTGTAAAATTGTAATTGTACGTATAAGTGTAGTTAACTCTACACTTATACGACTTTTCTATCTTTTACCGCTAACACGCCAACAGTCTTTAATTTATGTAGGTAGTCAGGCCTTGACCACCGGGTGATCTGTAAGCTCGTTTTACTTCTGATATAAAAATATCGAAGAATATTTAAATTCTAAAAAAAACTATTGGTAAATCCAATTGTGCATGCCTTAAGCGCATTAAAAAAAAATTAGTATAACATGATGATACCTTAATTTTTTTAAAGTAGTTTAAATACACACAAGTTTTCAGTAATAACCTTATTACTATACTTCCAATTTTCCGATAACTTTATGTAAAACTTCAATTAAAAAAAAGTTTGGAAAATCCAAAAGTGCACGACTCATAATGCTCATATGGTAGTAAAAAATTGAAAAAAAAAATCTAAATGGTAGTTCTATTCGTCAAAGAGTTCCAGTAGCAGTCACCGAAGTACAACTCAAGTCAATCCGTCAAATCCGGAGGTAAGATCTATTCATATCTAATAAAACGAGCCCAAACTCAGTATACCTAGTTCTACTCTTCGAGGAGTTCCAGTAGCATTCACCGAAGTACACCTTCAAGTCGGTGTAAGGTCTCATCATAACTAACATAATGAGTACAAGCTCGGCACACCTAGCTCTACTCGTCGAGGAGCTCCAGTAGCAGATATCAAGGTTCAAGATGTATAAGTATATTTATATATAAATTCTACGTACTTTTAGCGAAATAAAATATTATAATAAAAATCTGTGATTATAAAAGTAATAACCTTGGTCAGTATGAATCAAATTTGGTTTTTGAAATATTTTGTATTTCTACAGTGATCGACAATTTTGCTGCCTATTACCGCTGCTTTAAGCAAACGATACAGTAATCCACTCACGACGGCGGCCGAGCCCGAAGTGCGAGTGAGCTGTGAGGCAAAGTGTATAAGTATTTAGTAAAATAAATTATTACAAGGCTGCTTAAAACACCGAAAAGAATTAATTATAACTAAAGAAAACAAAATTAAACTGCTATTTACTTTCCATGGCTTCCCATATGATAGATGAAGAGTTTAAAAAATAGATCGAGTTAAACAATTGATATTTTCAAAATTTATCGTGTTTACCACTCCTTGTGGACTTGATAAATCTATACCTTATGCCACTAAAACCACTTTTTTATGTAAAATAGCAATTGATCGATTAAAAAAAATATTAAGTTCAAGAATAATCTACCTTTCTGACTTTTTATATCATTTATATGTTCAATATGATTGTTAGATACGACAAATCGTTGGCATCTTGATTTTTAGGCGCTAGTAGAACATAATTACGCGCTGTGCGCTTAAGGTATGCAATATCCTAATGTAACAGGAATTTTTGGTAACCCTACCCGCATGCCTGTGCGTCTGCGGGCGAAGAAACAATGGGCCTGCATATTGAAGTCATTATAATTTACAACGGAACGATGAATTTTAATAAATCTATAGATAAGTGGAAAGGAGGACGATGTCCACCGACTGTCTCCTTTTATGTGTCAAGTAGATGTTTTATTTATCAAAATAAATTGGAACAGTTACTGTCATTGTTTTACAAATATTTTTTGCACAATAAAGGTGACAAACGAACACTCGCTCCACCTGATAGTCGGTGGATGCTGTGGCCCATAGACATCTACATCTATCCTCGAATAAGAATCAAAATGCAGATGTATCGTCACCCCTGAGGACTACGATGGAATGACTCGTATCTAGTAAAAAGGGTCTCCGGTTCTCTACACTCACCATACGAAACACAGCAGCATTAAGCTGCTATTTTACGTTGGTATTCTGTGAGAGCGTGGTCCTACCTCGGTCGAGGCGGTTACTCGATTGTCATACTTATTCTATGAAAAAAAATATTTTGTACAGTTTCGTTACCTTGATCATGTTGGTCATGACAACTGGCAACAAATCGCTGTACCTTCCCCATTATGAAGCATAACAAGTGTAACTTGGTCGTTAATTACAGGTCTTGATCCGAACCCTCATTTCAAACACTTAACCCGTGGCAAATGGCCGTGACGGAGATAAGAATGAGCGGCCTGTTCATTCATAACACCTCCTCTTTTCTTTTTTAATTAGCGTTTCCGCTACCAGAGACGCTCAATTAGTAAACGCCGATTCATCGTTCGAACAAGCGATACAAAAATCATTTAGAGATCTGTGCGAAACTAAAGCATCCTTTAGGTTTTCTTGCTTTTAAAATTTTGAATAAAATTAAAGAGCCGACTTCAAGAAACTAAAAAGAATAAAATAATTTAATTGATTCTGCAACATATTAGTACTAACTTTTTTGGTATATTGACAAACTCATATACATATAGTCTATAAACATAATATATGTGGCAAAATAAGTGTTTTCTTTCTTTCTTAGATACTTTCGATATTTAGCATTAGACCGAAAATAATGAGTGTGTTTAGATGGAGACCTGACAAGGCATTCAGTAAGTGAAATATAACGCAAGTTTTTCTTATAGAAGTCCACTTAATGGTAAATGGATGTTTGTGGCCTCTAGAAATATGTTATCGTTTATCAACTGTATTTTTATTGAAAAAATCTGCTCGAGGCATGGATTCATGTTTTTATTTTAATATTTATTTATATTATTATTTTGACATATCTATCAACATATCATAGATTATATACACGTATATACGTACAAGTACACATTATTCAATGTGTATATATAACTTTTGTCTTTTAGCATTTTATGTAATCCCACGGTCCTGAGCCACCTACATCCATTGACTTCTTACACGCCTTACCAGGTCGTCACTTTATCTAGAGGCGGGCCGCCCCACATTTCGTCTACGATGCTGCCACTCGAGAACCTTTCTTCCCATCGGTTGTCGGTTCTTCAAGCTATACCATTGGATAGCACCATAAAATAGATTAATATCTAAATGTTATATTGCGTAAACTGTAATTTTTAAAACATCTCGTAAGGATAACACTATATTGAACGAATGAATTGTTTGTACGGAACCAATTATTTTAAAGACTACAGTTACTTTACTGACTCGGATCTTAATTACAAAATCCTCAATAAAAGTGTGAGCGCTGTGAGAATTGACACTTGTTGATCAGCGACGACAAAATGGCGATATTCACAAAATGGCGGCTATTAGTGTTAAGCTTTATGTGCTTGACTATTCAACTGGAAGAAGTAATGTCATCGCAAGAGATTATGAAAACATTAACGACTGGATTTATGAAAGCACTAGGAGCCTGTAGAAAAGAGGTAATTTTATTTTTGTACAGTTATGTTTTGTACAGAATATTCTACAACAATGACGGCTATTAATCTTCCGCTCACCAGATGCCGCTAGTTGCCACTGAGGTGAAGTTTTTGTTACATAATTTCATCTAATTGAAACGATGCTTTAAAATAAACGTTTATCACTTTCTAGAATATTAATAACACTTATAACATAACATTAAATGAAACTAATTTTTCGGATTTTCACAGCCTTGTACAGCACCAATGACTTAAGGTCCTTGTCACTATGGGTGGTGTAAAGCAATTAAAAGGTTTTGTAAAAGGTCGATTCTTCGATCGAGTTTAATTTAGAACAGAGAATTAACAACTAAAAAGCAATAGTTGATAATTCTTTAGAGAAAGTTCTTATAACCAGTATAATAGAAAATGCAGCTAGATTCGCAATGGTATTTTACTTCTGGAGCAATAATTAAAGTTAACTTTAGCTGATTTACCTTACTTAACTTGTTTCTATTTTATAGAATAAGGGTAAAAAAAGAGAACACAGTCCACATGAGTGGATGCTGTGCCCCATGGACATCTAAATCTAACTTCAATTAAAAACCAAAATGCATTGTCACCCTTCAAAACTAACTAAGATGGAATGCCTCATTTCTAGTAAAAGGGTATCCGGTTCTCTGTACTCACCATACGGAACACAATAGCATTAAGCTGCTATTTTACGCTGGTATTCTGTGAGAGTGTTCTCCTCAGGTCGAGGCGACGCATTCGTGCTACACCTAGAATATAGCTGCGGCGTGACTCTATCTCGTAATTGCAAGAATGTGCCAAATGGTGCTAACTAGAAAGGTTAATGTTTTTTAAGGGTGACAAACAAGCACACAGTCCACCTGATGGTAAGTGGTTGCTGTGGCCCATAGACATCTACATCTATCTTCGATTAAGAATCAAAATGCAGATGCGTTGTCACCCGTGAGGACTAAAATGGAATGCCTCGTTTCCAGTAAAAAGGATCTCCGGTTCTCTACACTCACCAAACGAAACACAGCAGCGTTAAGCGGCTATTTTACGCTGGTATTCTGTGAAAGCATGGTCTTTCCCCGGTCGAGCCGACCCATTCGTGCTACAACCATAATATAGCTGCAGCATGGCTCTACCACGTATAAACAGTTAGTTTATTAATATTAAAATTCATATTTACAGTTGAACCTAGGTGACCACATAATGCAGGACTTCATGAACTTCTGGCGCGAAGAATATGACCTGGTAAATCGAGAGCTTGGATGTGCGATTAGCTGCATAGCTTTAAAGTTGAACCTGTTGGAAGATGACTTTAAAATGCACCACGGCAACGCACAGGAGTTCGCAATGAAGCACGGTGCTGGTAAGCAAATACATGTTTACTAAATAAGGGCCAAAAATCTTCTGCTCACCAGATGTCGCTCGTTGGGACTAAGGTGAAGTTTTTGTAACACCATTTCATTTAATTGAACAGTTAGGTTTAAATGAAACTTCATCAGTTTCTAGAGTGTTTGTTGCTCTTTAATGGTTTGCACATTTTTAACTCTTTTTTTACACAAAGAACCTCTATAGATTCGCCATGTTTGTCCGTACGCCGCAGTTTTATAAAGAGACCCTGCAGGTGCTACAAGTTTTAATTTGGCGTCGTTCGATATTAATCACGCCTACAAAACTGTGAAATAAAAAAATATATTTTGGGTTGGTATTTACCACCCATACAGGTAAAGGAAGTATGATTTTCTATTAACCGTCTACTCCATCGTATGAGGTAAAGTTGGTTAGGTATTTCAAAAACATTGCGGATTAACAGGTCCGTTTGCGAAATATTTAGCTTTAAAGTGGTATTTTTCGTTAGAATCATGTGTCTCCCTCTACGTGAAATGTAAAAAATATACACAATAGTACTATATAATAAAGTTAAAAGCAAGACTATCACAGCTAAGTAGAATTAACAAGTTAACAAGTAATAGTCGACAAACTTATAAAATACACTTGTATTAGCAAAAATTTCGTTACAATTTCATAGAAAATGAGCTAAAACTAGCTGCATTATGACTTTGTAACGTTATCGTAAACTGTAAAAAATAAACATTTTATGAAGAAAACGACTTATGTGCATTACTACTAGCTTATGGCTTTACTTTTCCTTTGCGGGATAGATACGGAGGATTTTTCTTACTTGCTACATTCGCATATTTTTTAGTTGATAGTTATTTTAGGCCTCATTCAAAGTACTCATACAATCATTTAGCCTCATACAGTTTCATTTGTGGTACTCTTGGTATACGCGTGCGACCTTTAGGATCGTTTAGGGAAGTGATGGTTTACGGGAAGGCTCTTTACGGTCATATATGTACATATATCATAGGGTTGCATTGCCGGGAATATATAGATAGATAGTTAACTATGAACCTCTTTGTACGGACTTAGCATGTGAATGATTTGATGTAAATTGTATTATTTTCAATATCGAAAAGTTTTTTAATCTTTTTTGAATACCACTCCCTATAAGCCTGATTAGAAGTTAGGGAGTTACCATCATCCTATTTGGACCCATTTTCAGTCGTTCTAGCGGTGAAACCGTTCCGCTCATTATCAATAAAGCCCCTTCTAAGTTCACATATTGTGACGGGCAACTACGGAACCCTACCTCTACAATGTGCGTGGCCCGACACGCACTTGGCCAGTTTTTAATTTTCTACTTTTACGAATATCCGTAGTTTCGTTTATTCATTTCTAATCTAATTATTATAAAATGTAACTAATATTACAAAAATAAAAATCAACCCTTACATTTTACAATCCTAACAAATTAATATCCCCGCTATGAAACGTGTCAAATATTTCACCTCATTTCACAGAGGCACTTCACTAGTGGCAGACAAAGTCGTGTATTTATTTATGGTCATTGACTTTTAACTCTTGTTCTTGTTTTTTAATATGGCAATAATATGATAAATTTATTTTTTGTAAATGGCAAACACGGGCCTTGCATAATGTAGGATGATTGTAAACTGAATCTGAGTTTGCAGATGTCCCTATTCATTTGTCCACGGCAGATATTTGTGAAGGGCTGTCGAGATGGGAGATAGAACACGGGATGGACACTTCCGCTCGTCATGTTTTCGTTATTTTACTATTATTACCTTGCTACCGTAATACGCTTTTATATTAATATCGTACCGTAGTACTGAGCTTGCGTTTCTCTTCCGAAATTTCCTTTTTAATTGGAACGATTTTGAGTATTTGGGCTGACTTTGAGTTTAAAAAATGAGTATATATGCATAAACATATTTTTCATTATAACAAACTAAACTACGGAAATTCGTAAAAGTAGAAAAATTAAAATAAGGGTTAAAATGTGCAAAAAATTAAAAACAACAATGGTAGAGCCACGCTGCAGCTTTTGCTGTAGCATGGATGGGCCGGCTCGAACCACGGCAGTACTCCTACTCCCTAAGCGTTGTGCCGAATTCATCGAAGACAGCTTTCGTGCACCCGATCCCTAAAAAAGGTAACCGCTCTGATCCGTCCAACTACAGGCCTATCGCCGTCACTTCCTTGTTCTCGAAAATAATGGAATCCATTATTAACTGCCAGTTAATGCGGTACGTCGGGGTCGCTCAGTTGGTGATCTTCTTGTTTATCTAACACATAGATGGGCGCAGGCGATCGGGTTAGCACCCAGACAGAATTTCGGTTATGGTGGTCATTCACAACAGAGACTAGCAATCTGCGCAGGACAGTTATAGGGCAAATACAGATTGTACTTTCATAGTCTTATTTGACATCAGGCGCAGGCTACGGCTTTATGTGCTTTCCAAGGCAAGTGGGTGAAATACCGTCAACTCACTTCCTCCGGGCTGCTACCGAGAATTTTTTAACGTAAAAACACAATAACTGATTTTCTTGGATTGATCCGAGATTCCAATCCGGGACCGTACGATCAGCAGCTGCACTTATAAGTGAAAAATAACCCCAATACTCCTTGTTATCCTTGTTATTTTCAAATATTATATCATAATAATATCATAAGATCATAAACACGCCTGTCACCCGGCAGGAGTAGGCAGATACTATGGACTACTATTTGGCACGATCCTGATACACCACTTTCGCCTCCTATAGATCGATATACCTACACATAACTTTGTTGTGCAACAGAAATTTGCTTTGTCACTCTTTCCTCGTTCATTTTATCTACATGACCAAACCATCTAATCATTCCTTTCTTAATCCGCAATACAATATCATCTTGCAAACACATTTTTCTCTAACCACACAATTTTTCACACTGTCATTCAGATTCGGCCCTAACATACTCCTTAATTAATGACCGCATTTCTACAGCATTTATTCTACTCTCGTGCTTCTTCTGCCACACCCAACTTTCACAACCATACATTAAAGTAGAGACTAACACAGACTATTTTGACACATTCTGGATAGAGTGAAGAGCCCAATTTACTCTGTACCCTGCGTTTTCTTGTTGCTCTATATTTTTACCATATCTACCATACCTGCTGAACACAAATCCCAAATACACAAGTTCATCCACTTGCTTAACCGACCATTGTCTTTATTTGATAACATTTTATTTTTTAGATGAAGCGTTGGCAAAGCAACTGGTGACGATGATCCACGAATGTGAGAAGGCGAATGAAGGTGGTGATGACGACTGCCAGCGTATGCTGGAAATCGCGAAATGCTTTCGTACAAAGATCCACGAACTTAAGTGGGCGCCGTCCATGGAGGTCATATTAGAGGAGATTATGACAGAAGTCTAAAGAATTAGTTTCAACGACCATGGTTTAAATTAAAGAGGATATTAGAGTATCATTCATTACTTTATACTGTTCAATATAGGAAGGTGGGTTCTACCGGGGAAGGACCATGCTCTCACAGAATACCAGCGTAAAATAGTAGCCTAATACTGCTGTGTTTCGTATGGTGAGTGTACAGAACCGGAGACCCTTATTACTTTTTTCGTTTTCCATCACAGTCCTCAAAAGTGACAATGCATCTGCATTTTAATTTTTAATTGAAGATAGATCTAGATGTCTATGGTACACAGCATCCACTTACCATAAGGTGGACGGTGTGCTAGTTTGACACCCATATTCTAAGTATAGTATATATATATATATATATATATATATATATATATATATATATATATATATAGTATAGTTATAATATAATATAGTAAGTATATTATAATTTAGATTACGAGTTAATCTTTATTATTCCACGAAACCTCTTTAATTTAAACTTTTACACACCACATCGAAAGAATACTGCTTGTTACTGGACCCACGAATGTTATGATTCTCCAAAATTCGTCAGCTCGTAGTTAGTTCCTAGTTATAAGAATTTTAGTTAATTTAGAAACACATATAATATAAGACATGGTAATTGGTAAAGGTTTGTTAAATAAATTTTTAGAGGTTATGTTGTTTCAATTGTTTCATTACAACTATTTTATTTTGTTCTACCAACTCCAAAATGTACCGTCTACTTTTTGAAGTCGGTAGAACAAAATAAGAGAGATTGAAGAGTTTTATTTTAGTATATATAAATCCACTACCCCATATGATTCCGTGGGTTTCATAAGAGGCGGGAGAGGGAAGCGAATCAAGAAATGGGCAGCAGCGTGTTACTGATAACAATCTTATACAAATAAATAAAATTAAAGTGTCTGTTCGTAATGTCAAATTAATAGATTTTTACAAAATACACACGGAAGCACATACGGTACTTATAACAAAAACATTTATTTTTTATTTTTGTCTGTCTGCCCGTCTGTTTGTTCCGGCTAATCTACGAAATGGCTGGACCAAAAAAAAAAAGACTTTCACTGGAAGACAGCTGATGTTATAAGCAGTAATTTTATTTTATTTTAGAAATAGAATTAGGGTTGCGCGCAAAATAGTTAAAATCCATGAACAGCTAGTTCAAAATAACAAAAATAGCTGTTGCCAAACGTGACAACTATAGCAAACATCCCCCCTATGAGGCAATGTATGAGGGAGAACTTATGCTCAGCAATGGACTTCTGATATGATGTAATAAATGAAAGGATATATTTCTCAGGTGGGTTCGTTCACCGTCGAGCACGTAAATCAACACATTAACCCTTTCGCTGTCCCGTGCACTACATATAGGTCATTGCTATTATCTTACTATTGTGTCTGCAAAACCTGACAGTGAAAGTGTTAAATTGAAATTAACAATGTTGTTGGTAATGATTTCTTATATTTACGCGAACACTACACATTTAAATAAAACTAATTATACGAAATTTATCGCGTATATTAACTTATTTTATATTCACGACGTTTCAAGCACTTTACAGCACCCACGGTCAGCACCATGGATGATTCGCGAGACAATTGAAATAAAAAAACATCCTAATTTCAATAGTGAAGATGGCTAGATGCTGGCTCTGCTTGGGATCCCATAATTAATAAAATTAAATCCCAACCCAAGCATACAACTGCAAGACTTCAAGATACTGTAAGTTCATACTGCGTAGATCGGAACAAAAATTAACATTGGGACGTCATACACCTCAGTCCCCCCGTGACCATGGGTGCTGGAAAGTGCTCGAAACGTCGTGAATATAAAATAAGTTAATATACGCGATAAAATCAGTAAAATTAGTTTTATTTAAATGTCGTTGGTGTCGGCGACGATTGAACTCGGATATCTCGCATATTGTGAAATTTACGCCAATCGTTTGGCCCCTGAGTTACCACGGATTTATGTATCTAGTACATGTTTCATATAATATATATTATCACAATAATATATCACAATGTACATTCAAAGCACGCGCGTGTAATAGGGGTAAACAATAAAAGCCTCCCGAGTCGCAGGTGCCGCCGCCGGATAAATGCGAGGGAAGATTTAATGCCGTGTTGCTACGTCTGTCCGTGCCTTGAAGATTGTCGCTTAAATTTTCTGCTGTTTTTGCTAGCTGAAAATTAAGACGGTGTTCGTATAGGACAGTTATTACACTTTTTAGCTACCCGTGCGATTATATCCTGAAGATTGGATAACGTTAGATTAGCAGACTGAAGTAGTAGAGCGAAGCCAGAGGCAACGGGTTCAAGGTCTGTCGTAGGAAAATACATTTTATAATACTTTTTTTTAAATAAAGTTAGAAATTTCGTCACGTGTATCCGTGTATCCTAAACTAATTTCACAAGAGCAAATACTTATAGGATATACAAATACTTGTTCCGTGCGAGATTCGAACCCATGGCCCTTAACGCCGCAACTGATTGCTAAGCCACTGCGCCAAAATTTACAGTTTATTAAAGTCCACTACTAAACATAGGCCTCCCCTATGAATTGCCTCATAGGGATCCCCCCTTTGCCGTAATTATCGTCCCCCCACTAGATGGAGTGACGACATGGTAAGATATGCAGGAAGTTAATGGATGCAGGTGGCTTAAGACATTGATTTGTGTCATTATTTGGGGCGAGGTTCAGCAGTGGACTTGTGAAGGGCTGTAATGATGATGACGATGATGATCTACATTGCCGTGTAGTGGTAGTGTAAGTATATTCACTACCTCATATCATCCTGTGGATGTCGTAAGAGGCAGCAGCGGGAAACAAATCAGGAGATGAGCAGCAGCGTCTTCCTAATTTGCTCGCCAGGAGTGGCAATTATGGCAAATATCACTCCGCTAAAAGCCGTCAAAAATATGTAACATCCAATAAAAGTTTGTAACCAAGTCATGAATGTTTTCATTTTTAACTATTTACAGACATAATTAAACAAAATAAAACAAAATTTACGGATTTTCAGCCGACTTCCAAAAAGAAGACGGTACTCAATTCGACTGTACGTTTTTTTATGTGTATTACCTCATAAATTTTTACTGGGTGAACCGATTTCGATGATTCTTTTTTTATTTGAAAGCTGGTACTTCTCGTGTGGTCCCATATGAATTTGATCAAGGTCAGGCCAATAGTTTTTGAGTTATTCTTAATAACTTATATTGAAGTCGGCTGTACAAAATTTTTAATTTTAATTTATATCAAATCCCAACCAAAGCATACTACTGCAAGACTTCAAGATACTAAGCTCGTTCTGTGTAGATCAGATTAATATTTAAAATTTGAAGGCAACCTTCGTCAACTATGAAGTCAGGATATTAAACACCTAAGTTCATCGTGACCATAAGTGCTGTAAAGAAGTTTTATTATAGTTGTAGCAAGGAGTCACGTCTACCAGAGAAGGACCACGCTCTCACAGAATACCAGCGGAAAATATCAGCATGCTCCATAGCTGAACATAGGATGCCCCCATAAATTGCCTCATTGAGGGGAATTGCCATAGATGCCACTTTTTTTTAAATTATTATTATCAGTTGTTATTAGAAAGCAGCTGTAGCACGTCTTCTATTTCATTTCCCTCTATAGCTTCTTTCGACACCCCCGGGATGATATGGGGTAGTGGATATTCTTACACCGCCACTACACGGTAGACTTTATTGTTATGAAATAATTAGAATTATAACAAAAACTAAAGCCGCCTTCAAAGGAATAAAAGTAGTTAATTTTTGCCGCCCTTAGGTGTTTTATTTACCCTACCCTTTTCCAAATATGTAACCCCTACAATGTAACCGACTTAATAAAAATCTCAAGATCGGGTCTCAGTTGGCAATAATATTGCGTAAAATATATATAAAAAAAATACATTTGAAATGTGAATCTCCTACCTTTTTAAAGTCGGCTAACAAACATCACACAAAAATTTTCATCGTACCCATGTAATTTTACTAAATCATTTAATGAAAACATTCTTTGTTTGTTAAATTAATTTTAGTTCACTAACGCTCCTTATATTCTCCCAACGTAACAAAGTATATCGATCAATTGCACCATAACTCCTCGAGAACAATCGCGCGTCGCTACATCCTGATTCCAGCGCTATCAGAACATCAAACTTCAATTAGGGATAGCTTGCTGAGTGCCTTGAGCTAGATCTATGGTATGTTCCGCGATTGTCTGGTCCCGCCAGCAGTCTTTGAGAAAATTAACGGTACATGGTCTAGTGTTGTCTGTGAGTCGACAATATTTTAATGATAATTATTGTCTTTAGTTTTGAAATAATTTCGATGGTGTCTTTTCGATCTTTATTGCAGCGGTTCTTAATATTTTTGTCGAGCAACTAAAATACAGCTACATGCTTACAATACTATTGTCAAGTTTTTTTTTAATAGAATAAAGTGACAAACGAGCACACAGTTGAACTGATATTAAGTAGAGTTTGCCTCCAAGCAGGTTGCGATTTTTATACTTTATAAAGCCAATTCAGTTACAGGATCAAGCAAACCTAGAAGAAAGTTTATCGACCAAATTGGCGATATATAGAAGATTGGTTACTTTTATTTACTATATAAAATACTAGATGTGTTCCTTAAGTGTTCCGTTTTGGTAATATCGACACAGAACCCTACAAATCGAGAAAAGCTTAAACAGAGTTAACTGGATCTGATAATAACAGTTAAAATCAACATCATCATCATTATCATTACTGCCCTTCACAAGTTCAGTGCTAAATATAGATACCACAAAACATGGTCCTGGGCCATATAAATCCAAATACTTCCTGAATGTCTACATTTCGCTTACCGATACAAGGTTGCTTCTTGAAAATGGTACAAAAATGAATAAAAGCTTTTACAAAAATTTACTTCGCAAATATCCGCGTTATAAAATAAAACGATGTGTCTTACCTAGTACGAAGAGCACCTCCCGCCCTCCCTCAATTGCGTGCACTATCCCCGTCACCACTAATCCCAGCACCGCTACTCCCAACACCACTACACTAGGCAAGACACACCACTGACGATAATACGACACGTGTTTCACCTCTACACGAGGCATCCTCAGGTGATATAGACTCTACGAGTAGAGTCTATATCACATCATTTTATTTTATAACGCGGATATTTGCGAAGTAAATTTTTGTAAAAGCTTTTATGTAATGGATTTCCGCAAAGTAACGCCTGATTCTGTTAATACAAAAATGAATGATTAAAAGCACGCAAATAACACCACTATAAAAACAGTATACTTTTTTTTGTGGTCCCATTTGCTTGGGAAACTATAATTAATAAAACAAATGCCAACACAAGCATACTTCTACAAGACTTCAAGATACTATATACGAATTACGTGTAGATCGAACCAAAATTTAATAAATTTAAACTGAAGGTAGCTGTGGTTAACTATATATGACATTGGGACGTTAAACACCTCAGACTCCCCGTGATCATGAGTGCTGTAAAGTACTTGAAAAGTACGTCGGGAATAGAAAATAAGTTATTGTACACGATTAAATTCGTAAAAACTAGTTTCATTTAAAGTACTTTTTTATTAAAAACATTTCCATTTCACAATTAAACTTATTATAAATGTTGTTATGTGCACAGATAATAATTATATTAATTACAATATATTGTTAGGTACTAATATGTGTGCAAAGTATTTTACCCAGTTCCTGAAAGCACTGCTACAACCATGCTCAACGGGGATGTCCAGTTGAGGTCTTTGTTTTTGTTCGGAAGCACTTCGCTGTTTCCAGCGCACGGAGACACTCGTCTTTCACGCCTTTGTGTTGAGTCACACAATCACTTGCATCGGCAACCAGGTCTGTTGCAACTTCTTCCTCTAAATTTTGAAATCGTGCATATATTCAGATAGCATTCATTGTTGAAAAAAATTAATATTCTTCATATTTTCTTAAAAGAACCTTATGCCACACTAGCGATTTTCTCCTGTATCGTGTAGGTATTTAACATACATAAATTGCACAAGGACAAACAACCAGACCCCAAACAAGTACTTTCAGGCCATAGAAATACTTGTTCCGTCTGGAATTAGAACCCGAGGCCCTCATCCCGCCACGGAATCACATTATGTGCTAAAAGCTAATATGGTACTGAGTGGATCGAATAATCGTTAATAAGGGATTGAATATAAAAAAAAATGTGTATGTAATCATTAGACGTGGTTCTAGAAAAGTTTGTTAAATAATAATAGATACTAATGCTTCTTTCTGTTACGCGTTTTTTTTAAAGAATAACTGAAGTTATGGCCCATAGATTTCTACATCTATTCGAGATTTAGAATCAAAATTCAGATGCGTTGTCACCGCTGAGGATTAAGATGAAATGTCTCAGCATTAAGTTAATATTTCACGGTAATATTTTGTTAAATCGTGGCCCTTCCACGGTCTAGCCGACCGATTCGTGCTACAGCCATAGTAATATAGCAGCAGATTTTTGCCATAGTTGCCACGCTTGGCAAGCGAGTTGACGACTGCAGTTTTTTGTTATTTTGAATAGCTATCACGAAAATGTTGATGCTAATCTCCTGTTTCATGTCTCTCTATCACCTCTTAACACACGCACGGAATATTATGTGGTAGTGGATTATTTCACGCTGCTAATACACAGCAAAATCAAATCATTATTATCAAACGTACTGAAAGCGTGCCGAGCCGATTAAAGTCTGTATGAACAGATTTTTTTTACAGGATAGGGTGACAAACGAGCACACAGTCCACCTGATGGTAAGTGGTTGCTGTGACCCATAGACATCTACATTTATCCTCAATAAAGAATCATAATGCAGATTCCTCGTCACCCGTGAGGACCAAGATGGAATGCCTCTTTTCTAGTAAAAAGGGTCTCCGGTTCTCTACACTCACCATACGAAACACAGCAGCATTAAGCTGCTATTTTACACTGGTAATCTGTGAGAGCGTGGTCGTTACCCGGTCGAGTTGACTCATTCATGCTACAGCCTTACATATTATAGTTATAGCATGGTGTAAATAAAACAAACCAAAATAGATATTATGACGAGACGTACCAGCTCCATGGCTAATCGCAAATTCTTGTGCATTCTCTTGGTTAACATCTCCATTTTCATCCAGCAGTTCGAGCTTCCTGCTTATGCACACTAAAGCACAGCCCGTGTCACGATGTATGAGATCGTATTTCTCTTCCGAAAAATAGTACATATCGCGTAAAAGACTGTCTTTTAAGCCGAACTGTAATTTATTATTTAAAAGTATAAGTTAAAGTAAAAGTTACAGCTTTGTCTCTTCTTTAACGGTCCATTAAAGTCTGCTTGTCATGGACTTCCCTCGTTTTAGGCAGGATTAACCTTAACCATTACGCCTGGTAGGCTAATTGGTGAAAAGAGGCTGGATATCCCATTCTGTAATAATTAGGTACTAAGGTACTAAGGTATTAGGTTCTACGTTAAAAACATTGGGTCCAGATGTCCTGACGTCAGAATGGACTGACTTTCAATTGTTCCAAATTGTACCGATTATGTAGACAATTTAATACGTGGTAGAGCCACGCTCCAGCTATACTGTGTTTTTTTATAGGAAAAGTGTGACAAACGAGCACGCAGTCCACCTGATGATGTGGACAAAAACAAAAAGGAGAGCTAAGATATAGTGTATAGAAGAATTAATGCCGACTTCACAATTTGAAATTATTTTATTCTTCTTAGTTCTTTTACGTCTGCTTTTACTTTTTGTTTATAAGATACGTGAGGGTAATATGGCCACTTTAATCTTTTCCGCTCTATAAAACCAAAACTAGTAAGAATACTGTGACTAAAACACAAAGTCGTATATTATAACTAATATAATATGAAAAAAAAGCAAACAAGCTTTGGCAATAATTAGGAACACTTCGAAAAATTAACTTAAAAATAATTAACTACACTACACAATACTAAAATCGACTAAAATTAACTAGGAGTATAATGTCAACTGTCAAAATGGCGTCTATAAAGCACCTTTTATTATTTTATTGACTGATGAAGAGCTATCGTGTCAAACAGCAATCTATGCAAACAAGGCTGTAGTTTTTGAGTTATAAGAAAGTGACCATATTAACCGGATGACAATATTACCCTCACGTACTATAGTTAATTTTTTAGATTTTGAGTGGACTAAGTAATATAACAATCTCAACATTGTGTCAATAGTTACGTTTTTTTTTTAATAGGATCGGGCGACAAACGAGCACACAGTCCACCTGATGGTAAGTGGTTATTGTGACCCATAGACATCTACATCTATCCTCAATAAAGACTCAAGATGCAGATGCGTTGTCACCCGTGAGGACTAAGATGGAATGCCTCTTTGCCAGTAAAAAGGGTCTCTGGTTCTCTACACTCACCATACGAAACACAGCAGCGTTAAGCTGCTATTTTACGCTGGTTTTCTGTGAGACTTTAAATCTTCATATCCAAATATGCCACACTTAAGGGTGCATTTTTTTTTTAAATTTGTATGTATTATCTGAATTATAATCTATTTAATAAAAAATAATCATAAACGTGGATGAAATCATAAAAAGTAAATTTACTTTGTTTTCATTCACCGCTGCGTACGTGATTCTTTTTTACAGCAGAGAAGGCAAACGAGCATGCGGCTCATCTGATGGTAAGTGACTAACACCGCCCATAAACAACTGCAACACCAGGGGAATTGCAGATGCGTTGCCGGCCTTTTAAAAAAGAGTAGACTCTTTTCTTGAAAGCCCCTAAGTCGTATGGGTCCGGAAAAATCTCTGATGGTAGTCAATTCTACAAGGTATTGCTGGACTGCCAATTATCCAGATGGTGTGGATAGTATCGCGAGTTTTGTCGCGATGAATGTGCGATGGCGAAATTGAGCGGCTGGAATTAGTCCGAACAATTCCTCAGAGCACTCCCCGTTTTAGATGCGATAAAATACGCTAAGAGATGCAACATCTCTACGCAGTGCCAGTGAGTCAAGCCGATCGGAATGCACTCGGTCGTCGACGATTCGAGCTGCTCTGCACTGGATGCGGTCAAGTGGAAGGAGCTTGCACTGGGGAGCCCCTGCCCAGAGATGGGAACAGTATTCCATGTGGGAAGTGATAAGTGAGCATTTTAAATTGCGACTAACAATTTCATAAGGCCTGGCGGGAATCGAACCCAGGTTGTTTACGTAGGTACAATGAAATTTACGGCGTTCAACCTCTGAGCTATCACGGCCCTAATTTTTAATTTAATCACGTGGAAATATCGCGTGGCTTGTGGATTCAATTTGATTTGCCTATCTATTGTAAAAACTTCTTTGCTTCGCTTAATTAGACGCTGATAACAGTCAGTTGAAATAAATTGAAACATTTGTGTTACGAGTTTATCATATACTAGCCAATGTCTGCGAATTCATTTGCACATCATTTTTTTTATTTACATTCATGATGCTCACCCCAATCATCATGTGAGCCTCTTGCTTGATTGCCTTGACTGACATAATGGTAGATGACTACCGCAGCCCGAGAACAAGTGCAACTCCAGAAGAATTGTAGGTGCGTCGCTGAACTTTTTGAAAGGATTAGGCTTTATTCTTTAAAGATCTTAAGTAAGAAATCATCTTGTAATTATAATAAGAAATACATAATCGTTATCGTCAATACAAGATTTTTCACATACCGGCGGCTTCGCTTAGAGTCGGTCGGACCGACCCATTCATGCTACAACCATAATATAATTTTAACAGTGGTAGAGCCACGCGGCAGCTTTTGCTGTCGCACGGATGGGCCGGCTCGAACCGGGGTGGTACCACGACCTCACAGAAAACCAGCGTGAAGTAGAGGTTTACCTCTGCGTTTCGCTTGGTGGGTGCAGGTGGCTGGAGGCCCTTTTTACTGGAAATGAGGCATTCCATCTTAGTCCTCACGGGTGACAACGCATCTACATTTTGATTTGTAATAGAAGATAGATGTAGATGTCTATGGGCCGCAGTAGCCACTTACCATCAGGTGGACTGTGTGCTCGTTTGTCACACTTATCCTATATAAAAAAAGCTGCAGCGCAACATTTCGAGATACGTATAGTTCCCAAGTTACTGGGAAGGGAAGGCCAAACTGTCATTAAAAAGTCCAGTGTGCTCAAATCACGACGGTATTTCATGCTGGCCCATCGCCTGTAGTTTTAGAAAGCGGTTAGCGTAAGCGAAAACGAAAGATTAGGTTCGGCCTCAAATTGAATACTGTTCACACATCTGAGCCGAGGTAACCCTTTATCAGTTCTTTCCACTTTACCGTATTTAACGGAGAGCGATCCCAATCGTCGACAACCATGTTATTTCCGATCGGCTTGTAACACTGGCCTTCCGAAAAGACGTTGCATCTCTCTGTATTCTCTGAATATACTACGGGAGTGCTTAGTGTTCACAGGAACGAGATTCCTGGTACAGCGATCGCCAATCCGTGTAGCAAGTGTGGCGATTTAAGACAGCCCACGTCCAGCAGTGAACTTTCGTGGGCTGCTGAATAATTATGTAGTACCATGACCGTTACAGACTATTAAAGTCTACTGCTGAACATATGCCTACTCCATAGATTGCTTCATAAGGGGATGTTTGCCATATTTGCCACGCTTGACAAGCAGGTTGGCAACCACGATTTTTTATTTATAGTCGTTACTAGGAAGACGCCGCTGCCAATCTCTTTATTTGTTACCAACTGTCGCCTCTCACTACACCCACGGGATGATATGGGGTAGTGGATATTCTTACACCGCCACTATACTGTAAAAGATATATGGTGTAATGAATTTGTACCTCACTTTGACATTTCTTGTAGGTCTTGAGTAAAGTAGATGTTAATTTGTCCCATTTTCCTTCCGAAGAGTGATTAATAATGACACAGTTCGCAAGCAACACTACTGAAATAATATACACACCGCACTTCATGTTTGTCTGTTACTAACTTTGTAATGGTTTTCGTTTAAAAATAATTCACCTTATATAGCCTAAGTAACCTTGAAGCTGAAATTATACTTGATAAGTAGCAATTATTGATTGACAGAAAGTGTAGTTCGATTAACCGCCTATAGTGTGCTATTTGAGACACAGACAGAGGTCATAATTAACCAGTTACGTGCTATCTCTACCGATAAATAAGACGTCTATTTCTAAGTTGATTATTTTTATGTGTAACTTTTAAAACTACTTATTACGAGGGTGACACTGAAAGTTATTAGAAAATCAAAAACTGAACAAACTAGCAAGTTATTAGTTTTATTATTATTTCATTAATATTTATAGTTTGGTTTATTCATTTCTAATCTAATTAATATGAAATATAACTAATAATACGGAAAGAAACATTAAATTGTACATTTTCCTAACAAATTATCGTCCTCCGCTATGAAATCTGTCAAATATTTTACCTCATTGTAAAGTGGTGGTCATTAATAAAATACATAATATATACAATAATATTGGCAGAGTTCCATTTTCAAAATTTGAACTTATTTTTTTATTATATCTTTTACAAGTGGCCAGTTCTAAAAACTTTCAGTGTCGCCCTCGTACTTATATAAAATTTAGGTATATTTGAGGAAATAAACAAGAAAACTGCCTATCCGATGGGAAGGGGTTCTGTGGCTTCTTCAAGGTTTCTTATATTGCTGTTACAATCACCATGGGTTGGCATACAATTAATAATTTATTTTATACAATACAAACACTCACGCCTGTCACCCAGAGGGGTAGGCAGAGACTTCGGACTTCCATTTGACGCGATCCTGATACACCTCTCTCGCCTCCTTTACATCCATATATCTACGCTTACACGCTCGTTGGTTAAGGGTACTCCTAATCTGGCCCATTTTTAATGTATCGCCAATTTGGTCGATAAACCTTCGTCTAGGGCGTCCCTTCCCGACCCTGCCGTTCACTTCTGCGACATAAATTTGCTTTGTCACTCTTTCCTCGTACATTCATTTATTTTATTATTAAAAAAAACTGAAGTGACAAACTATAGCAACCAATTTAAAGACAACATATGCGTTGTTACCTCTGAAGACTAAGATGAAATGAATCTCATCCTGTAATAATACGGGAAGGTATCCTGTAATTATTTGGTGGCAGTGATAGAGACAGAAACGGAGTCTTACCACTTAACGTATTCGATACATATTTTTTATAGGATAGGGTGACAAACGAGCACACAGTCCACCTGATGGTAAGTCGCTGCCGTGGCCTATAGACATCTACATCTTCCCTCGATTACAAATCAAAATGTAGATGCGTTGTCACCCGTGAGGATTAAGATGGAATGCCTCTTTTCCAGTAAAAAGGCTCTGCGGTTCTCTAAACTCACCATACGAAACACAGCAGTGTACAGCTGCTATTTCACGCCGGTATTCTGTGAGAGCGTGGTCTTTCCCCGGTCGAGCCGATCCATTCAACTATACCACTTATATAGTTGCAGCATGGCTCTACCACGTCAAAATACAGGAAAATGGACAATATAGGACAAATAAAGGAGAAATACAGGAATTACAACGAACTTCAAGTCAAATCATCCTCGGTGAAATGAAATATAATTGTGTATTTAGGTAGACATTATGAAGTCGCAAGTGTATATAATAAAAAATAAATATTAACTTGCACACTCATCCTAGGTCCCAACCTACCCCCCCCGAACGGGTTCCCGCCTTGTCGTGGCGGGGGGGCTTAGTAGCCGTGTCTTGGTCAACCGCGGTAAACAAAGAGGAACCCCTTGGCTGGCCCGAGGTGTAGGGCCGGCCCGAGGTGGCCACTCCGAGTGGGCTTGGGAAGCCCACTTCGGATGTGTGTTGGTGGGCTGCGGTGAGAGGGGAGTCCGCACCCTCTACCGCTGCAGCCGAGGTGGAGTCGCGGAGGAAGAGGAGTGTTGGTATGGCGATGCGCCACTCGCCCTATCCTCCGCGACTCAAACGGGGCCGCACCGTTGATGCGGTGATGGTGGGGCCGCGGGGGGAGAGGAGTGTCAGTATTGCGAGGCGCCGCTCTCCCTACCCTCCGCGGCCGAAACTTGGTTGGCGGCGGAGCCCGAGACCAGATCCGCCGCTGGGGTCGGGAAAGCGGGCGCTATTATTAATTATTAAGCGCTCGATTTTCCTGGCCCCATGGCCTCCGCGTATCGGACTCGGGGGGGTCCGATACGCAGGTGGAGTTGGAGGTTGTGGAGGGGGGTAGCTGAACACCTCGCTACCCCGTGCAGGAGACGAGGCCCGGACACACCGGGCCAGCACTAGTGTGGGGCTGCGGAAGAATTTGGATTCCCGCGGCCCCACGCGCACGTGCGAGGAGGCACCGTGGGGTTTTAGCCGGTAGGAGTCCAGCATAGCCTTCCGGTTGCCCCCGCAGCCGGAGGTATCCATGAGGATTTCCCCACGAAAAAAAAAAAGGTCCCAACCTACAATTATACGAATCATATATAAACAACGCATCTGCAATTCCCCTGGTGTTGCGGTTGTTCATGGGCGGCGGTAGTCACTTACCATCAGGTGAGCCGCATGCTCGTTTGCCCTACTACTCTACTATAAAAAAAAAATATTTCAATTGTTTAACTATTGTGTCTGTTTCGCTTACAGGAAAACTGTTAAATTAGTTGCCATTTTGCGGATCGCTATACAACGAGACTCGGATGGCAATAAAATTGGGTGTATGGACAAATGTTGGCTCCGGCTTGGATTAAGCCAGTAGACTGGTATTCTTGTCATTTTCTGCCGACTTCGAAAAGGAGACGGTACTCAATTCGACTGTATGCATTTTTTATGTGTGTTACCTCATAACTTTTTACTGGGTGAACCGATTTCGACGATTCTTCTTTTATTTGAAAGCTGGTACTTCCCATGTGATCCCATATGAATTTGAATAAGGTCAGACAAATAGTTTTTGAGTTATTCTTAATAACTTATATTGAAGTCGGCTGTACAAAATTTTAAACTTTAAATTATGCCGTATTATTTTCAGTTATTTATAAAAAATAATCTTACCCCGTCCTAGACGTAGAAGGAAAAAATCGTGAGGAAACCTTATTTGGTTAATGGTTTTAATTTGCTATAAACATAAACCCTTAGTTTTCTATAAAGTAAACAAAGGTTTTAATTTAATACATTTTATCTGTTTAATTTATTTACTTTATTTTTTGTTTTTATGTAGTTTATTTTTATACAATAGATATATCAATAATCTTTTATAAATTTGAATCTTAAAGGAGAATGTCAGATCGTGCCCCACCTTGTACAAAAAGTTAAAAATATGAAAAATAATCTTATGAATTTTGAAGTTTTTTGTGATAAATCGTTATTTTGTACAACTTGCGGTAAAATATTATTTAAAAAAAAAGGGATTCAATGATTAATATTTACATTTCCAGTCTTTTTAGGGTTCCGTACCTCAAAAGGAAAATACGGAACCCTTATAGGATCGCTTTGTTGTCCGTCTGTCTGTCTGTCTGTCTGTCAATACCCTTTTTCTCAGGAACGCGTAGAGGTATCATGCTGAAATTCATATCAAATACTCAAGTCTACTGTCACTTAGAGCTGTGAAAAAATCAAACTTCTAAGCCAACGCAATCAAAAGATACAGCCGCTTATGCCGCAAATTTTCGACATTCGCAAGGGAATCAAAAGCTACAGGGTACTTCCCGTGAGCTCAGAATCTTAAAAGTTGGTAGGAAGCAACGTAATATAGCACAGATAAAGGAAAAATTGTGAAAAGCATAAATTTTTAGTTACATTATATTATAAAAATATATTTAATAATTTTCAATTTATATATCGGAACCCTCGGTGCGCGAGTCCGACTCGCACTTGGCCGGTTTTTTTAACAACATTGCGTTTCTTTGTACGAATGAGTACATACGTACGCATAAAGTATCAAAGAATACATATTTCTATTAAAATATATTATAAGTCTTTGTCATACAAAAATGTTACTTATCAGTTTTTATTTTCAATTATTATTATAAGTCGATAATAATCATGAATTGCATTAAATAATTACTGAATAACAATCATGGATTTTCCTGCATTTTGTGAAATGGTACACGTCATTGTTTCAATATCGTTACATATGTCAAATTAATGTCGAATATTTTCACACATTGACTCATTTGTGCTTGTGAAATATATTGATTATGATTATATCACATTTTCGCTTGTGCTGATTCCCGCTTTCTTTACCGTTGCACTTTTTCTTGCTTTTGCTGACCACTTATGCTTTTATTAATATATGGACTCGATCACGTCTACTTATTGACTTACTGCTAATTACTACGGATATTCTGATAATTGCATCCACGATGTTGAGGTGCACTAATTGTCACATTTGCGTCGATAGGATGCAGGGGCATTTTGTGTCCTCATTTCGATTTACAATCTTAACTCTTCTTTCAACATGGAGATCTTTGCAACAGATATATTTAGTTTTATAGCTTTTTATATAGTTGATAATTTATGGTCCTGCAATTATCGTAAAATTAGTTACTAATCTGTAAATATCTACACCTTCTTCAGACACATGTCATAATATTATGTATCTTGAAAAATATTTTTGTTAATAATATAACTCGTTTACATGACTAGGACTTAGATTTTATGAAAAACAGGTGGTGCTATTCTTAAATTGTGTAAGGATCTTTTAGATCCTATATTATAAGAGAACCCTTTTTTCAATGTTACTGATCATTATATAATTATGTTCCTTAAATTCTTATTTATATAAATCATTAGCGCCTGACAATTTATATTCTAAAATTACAATGAACTACAACGATTGCTGTTCTAAAAAATAATTTAAATGTATTTGGATTTTACAGTTTAAAAAAAATCGCAAGTTCTAGAGACTTCAAATTATATCATTTAGATGAAGTAATAAAGTAGAAAAAAAATGCTGCATACGGCATTCGTGTACAC